CTCTTAGTAGGCTTCACAATGCGGATATGTTTACCGTCGATAGCCCCTAGGCAGTTCGGGAAGTTCGCCTGCTGTAAAAAGTTCAGTGATATTTCTTCCCACTTGTCCTCTGTGAATGATGGGAAACATTCTTCTCGTAAGACAGTCCAAATTGCCCAGCACGTTTTTCTTACGATTTGACAGAGAGTCGAATACCCAATCCTGTAAGAATAGTGCAGGTCTGCAAGTGTACATCCACTCCCAAGGTACCTATAAAAAAGTGTGTTGCTTCAAAACAATGTTATGTTCAAACACCAAATGTAAATATATTTATTAACAATAACCATATTTATATTAATTTCCCAAATTATTTAGTTTCTTTTCATGCGTTTCTTGCGCTTAGCAAACAGAACCGAGAATCTGTACAATATGTCGATTTTCCAAAAAAATTTGTTTCAGGTAACAAACTCATCAGCAAATGGCGAAACATAAGGGATAATTTCACAAGAAGTCTGAGGAAGAAAACGAAGTCTGGGCAAGGAGCTGATTCTGGAAGACAGTATGTGTACGCTCGTCAGCTCAGCTTTTTACTTGCTACTAGTGCACCGGCGGCCACTCAGTCGAGTATCGAAGAGGAAGGGCTATCGCAGGTCATTGATGAAACTCCAGAAACAGAAATTGTCCCAAAGAAGAGGAGAAAAACAACAAGAGTCTCCGGTCGACAAAGGTTGGAGGAGAGTCTGATACAGTTTATGAATACGCCTGTTCCAGTTGAGCCAGAGAAGACTTCGAATCCCAATTTGGCATTTTTTGAGTCATTGCTTCCAGCGTTAGGAAGTTTCACAATTGATGAACAATTGGAATTCCAAACTGAAGTCTTGAATGTTGTTAAAAGGATTAGGGGTAGATCAACTGGCTTTCTGCATCCTTCCCCTCACTACCATTGCCAATCTCCCTCCGATGCTCGCTACCCAAATGTCCCCAGTTCTTTTCCACAAATGCAGCAGTACTCATGTTTCCCGAACTATCCAACCAGTACATTTCCGCAGCGTACACATCCACAACCCTCAGCGTCTTCTGTAACCTCCCAAAACATACAGTCATCTCCAGCTCCAGAATCCCTTACTGAAACTCAGGCCGGGCTATCCGACTCTCTTACTTCCACAAATTCATGCATTAGTGAAGAATCATTTGAGATGTTTCCTAACAGTTAATGTGTAATTTTTTGTAAAAAAGAAAAGACGATAATTCAATAAACTATTAAGCTTCTTCAAAACAACTGAACCTGTTGTAAGTTTTGAGGTTTTCACGGCGATGACTATGAAGAAGACGACTTTCTTCAACTGAACCTGTTGTTCAAAATAATAATCCTTTTGCCACATTGTTTCCTTCTTTTAGATAACCGAAATAAATCTGTACGTACCTCAGTGTTACAGCTAACATTTCAAGCGGGCCAATAGCGAGTCTCATATTGGTGTCCTGGGAACGTATACTGTCTGCAGTTCTTCCAGCTAGCTCCTCAAAAGATCTTTTGCTCATCCGAAAGTAATTAAAAAATTTTGTTTCATCATTACTAAGATCTACGTAGAGCGATGAAAATGCTCCTTTTAGCAGTCGGGAGCTCAGCAGTGGGTGCACCCAGAACCTTCGGTCTGCAGACTGCAAATACTTATACACTAAATGTGAGAACACCCCTCTCTTCTTCCTATATGACACCTCCATGGCGCTCATACTACTACTGCTGACTGCTTACGTCCTATGACAGACCACCGCATGGTGCGTCACAGTTCCTTAAACGCATCGTGCACTTTTTTCGCATCCGTTGACGGTCCGGCAACAGAGCGTCACCGCACCGCTCGTGTGCAGGGAGCCTTAGGTTTCGCACCGCCGAATTGCCTTGATAAAAGTTTTTCGAACATTTATTACCGTACACTATTTCAGGAGCGAATGGCTCTAGTTTCACTCCCACCCCACTAGTTCGTCCTGCCTTCCGCCATATTGTTATTGCTGGGCGTAGAGAATCGTCTTTTCCAAACTCCATAACAAATGTCACTAAAATCTCTCATAACGAAAGGAAGTGGGCTGCAAAGTACTGTATTTCCATAATCCACTGTGATATTATCACTGTTATGGAATGAGTATAGACGGGGTTTTGATTGGTAATCGGATTTATCGAACACTTATACAACTCATTATCACTTCACAAATCATTATAGAACAAACTAAGTCTTCTCAGTCTGTTGCAGTCTTTACAAGCCGTTGCATGGTAGAGGCTTCCAACCGGGTTCGCGAATGGGCCCCGTTCCTCAGTTACCTGCTTTCAACAGCAACAGCTCACAACAACTGAACCCCAGCGGTTATCACACCCACTCACTCACACTCACACTCACTCACTCTCACTCTCTCACAACTTGTCTTACTTTTAACAAGTCACGAACCGCACAGAACACGCCGTTCCTCTGTTGCTGTTTACGGGTAAGACTGACACTGCCCGCTGTCAGATTTAATGAAGGTTCATTCATCGGTCCTCGAGTTGTTAACATGGTAAAAACGCACATGCACATGTTCGCAGTTTTCTTTTTCATTACATCACTGAGAAAATGGAACTAACACTGTGATACTGATTCGAACCAACGATCTCGGGATCAGAGATGCCAAAGACCATTCGCTGTTTGTCTATACTGGGGTTTGCTTTGTACGTTCACCCTGGTGTGTATTGCGGTAACTCCCTGATATTATGATCAAATACCATGCAATTGGTTTCGAGCCATAACCCCACAAACCAAGAATCCTGACCGCTGTGTAATGACCTTAACCGCTAAACAGAAGGCGTTTGATGTTGCTGGAATTCGATTACGGGACCTCACATGCACATGGCTGGTGATTGATCGCGTTATCTCTCGACAGTTCGATCGTAAACTTTCGCAGCTTTACAGCCCTGTTAAGAGGAGGTGTGTCATTTAATGATGCAAGCATTTCAGTTGATGAAACTATGGCTTCGTTCGAGTGTCTGTCCCTCGGGTGCTCATGTAAAGTCCGATAAAGACTCAAGAAGTCGTTACGTGAGAGTAACTTTGTAAACAAAAATTTGATGCAACACCAGCCGAAGAATCAGCACGAAGTCTGATCACTTTTTCGTAAGTTTTCGTACTATAACATTCCGTAAGTTCTTCCCCATTCATTTTCAGCCTTACATTATACCAAATGAACCGCCGAGCCGAATTTGAAAGTAATCTCCCACGAATAACACGCACAAATAGTTGATTATAAATCGTCGCCTTTAGTTACTATACTACACTTCACTTAAGAGTCATGATAGCTCAGTCGGTATAGCGACGAGCTACGTACTGGACGACCCGGTTTCGATTCCAGGCAGTGAAAAGTTTTTCTCTTCACGGCATTTAGACCGACTCTGGGTCCTACCCTTCCTCCTACCAAATGAGTAGCGGGTGCTTCTTCCCCGGAGTTAAAGCAGCCGGAGCGTGAAGCTGACCACTCCTCTCCGTCAAATGCCGAGGTCAATAATAGTGAAGCTGTACCTTCACTCCATATATCATCATGGCACCATGTTTAACTAATTAAGCACTACGCCATGAAGACGTATGGGAAAGTGGATGTATAGACCCACGTTTTCTTGACTTCGGCTCAAGTTGGAGGTGAGTGGTCAGCTTCGCGCCCCTGCCACTTTACCCCTGGGTAAAGAGTCCCTGGTACCACTTGGATAGGAAGTTCGATGACCCCAGAGCCGGTCTGGATGACGTGGAGAAGTTCTTGACCCTACCGGGACTCGCACTCCGACCCCACGGTCGCCCAACCCGTAGCCAGTCGCTATACCGACTACCCTATCCCGGATCACTTCACATATCCATATAAAATACAAGGATTGGATAAAAGTAATGGCAGCACTGCTGTAACATGAAAGATGTGCGTCAGGTGGCACTAGCCCCGTCTGTAGCTGATAGCAGAAGTTCAGTTGAAGTAGTGCAGTGAGTGGCTCTGGTTGTGTTTCATTGCGTTCCATTGTGCATCATCTTGAAGTGCAGGAGCCCATTTCAAGCGTCCTAACAACATGTTTACGAAACAAGAAAAACGCTCCTGGATAAAAATTGAAGTTTCACGAGGTCGTAGTGCACAAAACTGCGAGAAGCATGTGGTGATGCTGCTTTGCCATATCACACAGTGGCGCGATGGGTGAAATTGTTCCATGAAGGGAGGGATGCCATTCAGGACAGCCGTTGTTCAGGACGACCCCATGTTGACAACCACACAATTCAGCTTCTTCTTTGCTGGATGTCGATCGTCGATGGGCTGCGCGGGAGTTAGCTGCTGAGGTAGGCGTATGTCACAAAACCATGCTCCACATTCTGCATAATATGCTTGGATACCGCAAAATTGCAGTGCTTTCGGTACCCCATACAATGTCCGAGGTGCAATAGTGGCAGCGTTATGCAATACACAGGACTTGTTGGACCGGTACCAGAAGGAAGGTGACTACTTCCTTGGAAGGATCGTCACTCTGGACGAAACTTGGGCTCGTTCATACGAACCGCACTTGAAGCGACAATCATATGACTGGAAGCATCCTGGCTCTCCTAGTGCAAAGAAAGTGCGCCCTACACAGAGTAATGTGAAGGCAATGTTTATTGTGGTATATGACACTGATGGAGTGATACTGCACCACACTGTACCTCAACGACAGACAGTAAACGCTGCCTACTACTGCAATTTCTTGGGTAATCATCTTCGCCCAGCTCTCAGGAGAAAGTGACGGCACTTTTTGCAACGAACCCCACCATCCTTCATGACAATGCAAGGGCTCATACTGCTGACGCTGTCAGGGATCTCCTTCGTCGCCAGCGATGGGAGATACTGCAACATCCGCCATAGTCACCCAATATGAGTCCGTGCGATTATGATCTCTTTGCCAAAATGAAAGAACCACTGCGAGGGACACGTTACAACACAAGAGAGGAGATTATTCGTGCTGTAGGGCGGTCACTGCTGGACATTAACAGAAGTTGACGCGCTGATGGTGTACGACGCCTTCCACAAATTTGGCAGAAAGTGGTACACGTGAGGGGGGGGGGATTTTATTGAAGGAATGTAACTGTGTTTACCTCAGGTAATAAAGTCATTTCAGAACTATAGAGGCGTTGCCACTACTTTTTTCCGACCTATGTATTATCAGTACTCACACAATAGACGATATATACTGACACGAGACTACTTGATCGTTCGTGACCTGTTGCGTAACTTATGTTCATACAACTTTGTATCATAACGTCTGTAAAATCTGTTACATACAGGGCTGTTACAAAAGAACTCACCACTTTCAGAATGTTATTGCAAATAAACTAAACGGAACACAACAACCAGTGCTAGATTGTTGCCTGCTGTATGAACGTATGAAGTTCCTGAAGCCACTACCAGGGTCGCTTCGAGCATAAGCAGCCAAATGGCGAACGAAGTTGAAAGTGAGTGGTGTCGTATTTGATTTATGGCGTGGGGCTTTTTGTCGTTACTTCAATGACAACCCACTTCTTCGGAACAGTTTGTAGGTTGGTTGCTGAGATGCTTGGCCGGTGAAGTAGCGCGGCGCGCGCCGGTAGGAAGGGATGTTGGTTGCGGTGTGTTGAGGCGGCTGAGTCAGTTGACTGGCCGCAGTGCGGCCGTTGCTTGAGGGTACTTGGTTGTTGGAGAACATTCGCTTGCCGAGCGCGGTCGCAGGATTGGAGAGGCGGTAGCTACGCCAGTTGCCCTGTGTGTCGGGCTTACCACCGGCGAATCGAGGCGGCGGAGTTGCCCAGTGAGTCGGGTGTGACCGCCGGACAGCCGAGGCAGTCGTGCCTGGCGCAGCGAAGTGCCGATGCCTCCGAAGACCGAGCGCTGGCGACGAAGCGTGCTGATTGCTTGTGGACTGCTTGTAGACTGATGTGGAACTGACGACTGATGACTGATGCTGCCGGGTTGGAGCTGCACCTTTTTATACCCAGCTCGGTAGGCGGAGCGAAACTTTCATTTGAGGAGCAACAATTTGCAGAGCGCTGATTGGCTAGCAAAATGAGGAGCGGAANTTGAAAGCCATTCTACTTCAAATAAATACAAAACTGCTGTAATCAATTCACAATATTTTTTCTTGTAGAGGGAGGGCATTCAAATTCTATTGAAAGCTAATAATTTATTTGTAATGAAAGTTCAAGTTATTATGAAATGTAATGCTTATTTGTCGAAAAATAGTAGCTGGAGTTTGTAACTTACCTACAAAGTATGGAACTGCCACAATAATAGAACTTGCGCAGAAAAATGTCTTCTTCCAAACACTTCTAATACTGAACTGAAGAACACCTGAGGTTTACTGAAAAGGTGGCAGTAAAACTCATGAGAGGAGGGGGAGATATTTAGGAAAATAAAGGATAATTCGTTAGGGCTCCACCCGCTCTGAGAAGGCGCGTACCTGTTTACTGGTACTTGGAATTCCCAGATCTGAGGTTGTTGTTAAAGTACACTAGGTTCTGTCCCTTCTAAGTAAGGTACACAAAAACAAGGATATTGAGTTATTGTGTTATTATATGTACTGACCATTTGGCATTTTTATTTCTTTTTATATTATTAATAATTTTATTTTAGAAGTGAAAAATTTTGTGGCCCACTTAAC